GGACTTAATTTGGCTTTTGGTGCTGTCTACGCAGCAGGAAGTCAAAGGAAGAACACTCTTCCTTCAACTTTCCTTACTCCTCATGAAATGAGGGTTACAGGAGTCAGAGGAAGAAGTCCTCCAGCTTCACATTATTTCTAAGTAACAGCTTGCTGCATAGACATGCATTTTGTTATTTCAAAATAATGTCAGTTATTCCGAAATAAAGCTGCTGTGTAGACATACCCTAAAAGGCAACATTTCCTCTTTGCAATGTTCATGAGAAGAAGAATGCTTCTGGTCACAAAACACCAGTGAAATTATTTATTTCATGGATGCAAACTGTTTAACAACAGGTTCTGTGTCACTGCACATAAGCCTTAACACAAAGAATGCTTTCTAAAAATTCCTCTTCCATCTTGTTGGGCAGTTTTATTTCTATCAAAAGGTAGTGACAGCAACAAAAAAAGCAAACCAGTCAGGTTCTCTAAAGTCTGTGCTCCAGCTACAGTGTGTTTGAGAACTTTAACGCAAAACTGCTCCTAGTTATTCCGAATACGTTTCCAGTGAACCACGGGCAAAACACTTCTCAGGCAGTTGGAGCAGCAGTGGTCTCCACAAAACAGTTGCGCTCTCATTTTTGCCAATCTAGGTCATACAGGATTGAGCGCAATAGACTTACTATCCACCACAAAGGATTCCATGACTGGATGTTTGATGTTATTTTATATGTTTAACAAACTCCAACCTGAAATCTCGACACTTACTTTTGAGGTCTTTAACAAAAATGTTTAGTGAATATTTTGAAAGTTCCACTGAAAAGCAACTCGATTATAGACTGCACAAAACAGTAAATAATTTGACTCAAAGATGAGATCTTAGTTTAACATAGCAGTCCAGTTCTCAAAATGAACATGGTTTCACAGCTCTCACCACCAGACTTTGGTAGACTGTCATCAAATCCTGCAGCAGCTTTCCTGCCTGAGTTCTTTCCAACTGAAACATTTGGTTTATCCTCCAGGCTACACGAAGTCTTGGACATAGAAATCAAAAAATCAGGTAAGTTTTGTTCACCTGATCACTGTACATGAGTTAAAGAAGTTTGGTGTCATAGGTTCTCTCTTTGCCTATCTGAAAATTTAGCTCCAGTTCATTGAACTGATGAAGAAGCACGTTTACATAGCGATTAATAGAAAGCTATCTTGTGAAAGAAAGCTGCATCAAAGAAAGCTGCATTATGGGTTGCTAAGTAGAGTAGCTGTTTCATTGCCTGAAAGTTTCAATTGCTACACATGAATCTTATCATTTATACTCTAACATACACCCGTTTATTTATAAGCTGACCCTCTGCCTAACTTCTAGAGAAAAAAAAATGGTAAAAAAAAGTCACCGACCTGTTTATAAGCTGTCTCTAGAGTACAGTGGTCTGGGACCTCATAAATGGGCCAGTGACTTTTTACCATTTTTTCCCTCTAAGATTGGGGGGGTTGCGACAGGTCCCAGACTGCTGCTGCTCAGCTTTTTAAATGTCATCTTAACTTCTATATAGATGTAGAAGGGAAAACTAAAAACAGGAGGTTCTTAGCCAGGTGTTGATTATGGCTAGGCATTAAAGATGAAAATGGTTATCCAGCTGTCTAGAATAACTCACAAACATGAATACCAACCTTAGGACAGACTCTTACAAACCAAGTTACTCCCAGTACCAAACAACACGTCACTTAAACAAGGTCAACTACACCTTACACCTCACAAAGATGTTTGAAGCTAAAGATTTGTTAGTTATGGGAGTGATTAACTAAGAAAAAATAAGTTATTTATAAGGTTAATGCAGGTAAACATACACACACAAAAGGTAAGAGAAGTTGCTGAACCATGCAAACTTTCTACATCTTTTATAGCTAACGCAAACTAAGCAGCTGGGAGAGTCTCTCTTCCCCACCCCCCGATTATTCTTAGAAAAATATTGACCTCTCCAAATTCCATGCAGCACATTGATATTGTTCCTTCTGATCACAGATTTTTATTCCCTTCCCCCAGAGTTCAACCTCATGGAACAAGTGTCTGCACTCATCTCCTCTTCATGGATGTGGGGTGAGGAGGGAGACAGCAATCAACAAAGTCTTTGTCCTTTGATGTTTCACAATGACTCATTCTTGTGTGCAGGACCTGCATTTTACTTAATTCTTCTTTCCTGTTTG